CGCTAGGTAGGATCCGTGGACCTGAGTGTTAGGTCCTAGCTCGCGGTATGGTCTGTTCTAGGTGGAATTAGATGTAATCGTTTGTTGAAAGTTTGAGGATGAATAGTAAACAAAATTTCTATAAGCGAGCAAAGTAGGTTTTTCAAATTCTTTACTCACTTCTTCCCTTAAGAAAAAAGTTCTCTCAGGTAGAAATTCTCTCCCAAAGATCTGTCTCTCAACATTTTTTCAAGGAAGAGATCCTCCAAAAACAAAACTTCTTCTCAATCATCTTCGGATGTTCATAGTTCAAATGAGGGGATTGCCCTCAAGGAGGAATTTGAAGTCGAGCAAGAAGAGAAGGATGCATATTGGGATGCTCTATGTGGTTCGGTCACTCCTCCGGCCGAGGTTTTCTTTCCGAAGAGACCTACCACGGTGATTGACCTAACCGTCCCGAGCAGGACCTCCTCTTCCTACCTTTCGACTCTCCAAGAATTCTACAAGGTAACGAGCGGGGTAATGTTCCGAATTCCGACAAGCGGTTAGAGCACGAAGAATCCCCCAGAAGGCTTCTTTACTTGCTACAAAGCCTTCCTGACGTATTTCCGCTTGTGGTTTCTGATCTCTGAGGCCATCATTCGCGGTCTTAACCGTTTCAGATTGTCGATAAGCCAGCTGAACATTGCGGCATTTCAGCATTGGCTTTGAGTGTTGATCTTAAGCTATGAGCTCGGGAAGGACCTTAGCCCTGATGACTTTGAAGGGCTATGGGCGACGCGGAAGACGGGGAATGAATACTCGTGCTGTTTGCACCCCAAGAAACACATGTCGATCATCCAGGGGCATACTTCTAATTCTATGGGGTAGTTCGATCGTTTCTTCTTCATTCGAGTGGACGGCGAGTCCGTAGAGGAGAAATGCCTCCACCTGTTCCGTAGCGAATGGAACTTGAACCATGGTAATATGATCGGACACTTTGTTTTGGCTTGATTTCAGAGATACTTGATTGCTTTTCGTATATATTTATATATCATTTTTTTTGGCAGTGAACAGGGTCCTTTAGGATACTCCCAGAGATCTCTACGCTAAGCGGGACTTGCTCCGCAGCGGTTTGTTCTTCTTGAACTACTTTACCCTCGCTAGGATCTGGGATGCAGTGGAGCTCCACCGATAGCACGGCATCCTCCGACCTTGGCATGTGTCGGACGAAGACGAGCCGCGCCCCGAAGCCTTTCCTGCTTGAAGGGAGAGGGTTAGGCCTCGGAAGGATAAGGGGATTGCTTTCAGGATTGTCTCAGAAGATCCTCTGATCCCTGGATGGGAAACGGGTAATGGAAGCGGAGCAAGTGAAGCTCCCCTTCCGAATGACTTCTTTGACAACCTTCCTCCCGGTTTTACCACTCAAGCGTCTCTGACCGAGGCATCGAGGAGAGAGGTGGTTGCGGAAGGCTCTCGGTTGATTAACGAGGTTTGGTCTCTGAATTTTTTTGAGAAATCTTTAGATTGTTATTTCCTTTTTGACCTTCGATTTGTACATGGGACTCGAGTTCTTAACTCGGCATTAGACGGAGGTTTCAGAGAAGCGTGCCTTTCGCATTTCAAGGCCGAGGAGATCGAGAGGAAGTTCATTGAGTTCCACAAGCAGGTGGCGGAGCGAGACCGTGCACATGCTGAATCCCGTTATCGTGCTCTCGTCCGTGCGGAGAGGAGAGGGAGGAGGAAGGTTGCCACCGAACTGGCAAGGAGAGCCGCCCTGTTCAACACCAAGTTCCAAGGTTTTAAGGAAGCTCAGGACGATGTGTGCGACTTCCGCGAGTGCCGCGGTTCTGTCGCTTCCTTCTGGAAGTCGCAAGACGCCGACTTCTCCTTTCTTCCCGAGATTGCCATCATGTCAGGCCTTATGGATGGGTATGTTCATGCTGAGACACGGGTGCCTCCGATTGAGGGGAGGATCCGACAGCTTTGGGAACCCATTGAGGTTTATGAGGATACAGCGGAAGCCGGAGCTGGTGTCGGGGATCCGGAGGGCATCGCGGCTGAGGAAGGAGAGGTGGATCAGCCAGTGAGCTCCTTTGGAGTCTCCATGTCTTGTTTCCTTGACCTCTGATCCTCGGGGTGGTTAGGGATTGTTTCCCTTTGTTTTTATCTTAAGGTTTTGATGTATGTAGGCCGATTGTAGCCGTATTTTATCTTATGTGTGTTATCGCCTTGTGAGGCCATGTGAACTATGTATTTGGGACCGGCCGTTGGTGGCTTTGGGTCCTAACCATTTTTTGCGGCTTTATATATATGACGAATAATCGAAATTCTGTGCGTTTTTGTTTATACTTCTGCCAAGTGCGAGGGAAAGATATGAGTAGTCACTTTGTATCTTAACTCTTAATTTATCATCTTATTCGTTTGCTCTTATTGAACAAGGATGTTCGGAAACGTTTAGGAGTTTCGCGAAGTTTCGTGAGCGTATTAGATATAGACGACGGGACATGTTTTTAAGATCTCGTATCATGTCTTGAGATGTTAATGGACCAATAGGACTGGGTTTAGGGCAAGACCTAGTTTACTTTCGGTTCTAAGGCTGTGCGATGACTGATCGGCTCTCGTTTTGCCTGTGGGCGATTTCCACCTGGTTCTTTCCAATTTAAAGTCTGCGACTTGGCGCCGGCATATATGACTTGTATGGAAGAACCAAGCACTCTCCAGAGACCGCCTGGAGTTCTGACCGAAATTTCAGATTTCTGGTATAGCGCGCTATGGTATCCTTGTCGGATGTAAGAGAACCTTTACTTTTCGAAAGGTTTGACTTTTAGTTCTTTTTTTAGAGAACGTTTTTAGGTTTGTCTGTCGGGGCCAGTCGACAGGCAATTTTTTTTAAGAGTCGCGGACGGACTTTGTGTTAGGATAATGTCTTTCGAAAATGTTTGCGATATCTCAGTTTTTCCGAAAGGTATATCCTTTGTAGTGAGAAAGTTACGATCTTCATTTTTTAAAGAAGATGTATTTGGTCTTGCTTGACCTTTGATACATAAGGATTGTTGTTAGTTCCCATCCAAGGACTGTTTGGAGGGTATGCGTGTTTGGAGACCCTTGTTTTGGGCGTTTCTCAGGTTATTCTCCGATTGTTATGGCTTAGTGCAAGTGAATCGAGAGGCCGAAAGAAAAATTGATTTTATTGAACTTTGTGGGAGTATACGTACCCACTCCCCCCCCCCCTTTTTGATGAGGGGGATAGCTGAACTTGTTGATCAAGCTGCCTACGTACCTCTCTCGAGGATCAAGCCATCTCGTAGTTCTGGTTGTTACTGCGGGTATTCCTACTCGCTGGATGGGGCTGTTCCGGTTACTTTGGCTGTTGAGGCTTTGGTTGGATCAAGGGCCGTTTCTGGAGTCAGGTTTTCCGCTGGTAAGGCGATGGGCTCGGGTAGTGGGTCGTCTGGAGTCATTGCCTGGCTAGGTGATTCTTGACCATTCTCCTTAGAGCTTCCGGGAGCGTTCTGAGCTTTCTTGTCTTGTTTCAGGTTAACCGCAGGGCTTTTCCGAGTTTGTCGCAGTTTATGCTTGGCCAAGTAGCAAAGCCTGGACTGTTTCTGGCATCCCCAGATGACTGTTGTTCCGTTTGGAGTTGGGAACTTGATGCCAAGATGGTAAGTCGAGTACAACTTTCATGGCATTGATCCAGGGAGTTCCCATGATGATGTTATACATGGCCGGATTGTCGACTACCGCGAAGTCGACGATCTTCGTCACTTCTTTAGCCATTACGGGAAGTTTGATCGATCCGAGGATCATCGATGTTGTTCCCAAAAAACCAGTAAGAGGTTTTGGTTATGGGACCACTTCTACGAGTTCGATGCCCATCCTTTGAAGAGTATCGCAGAAGATGACATTGACAGTGCTTCCTTTATCGATAAGGATCCTTCCGACCTCAAGGTCTCGGATTATCAAATCGATAACCAGCGGGTCGCAGTGTGGTTTGTCAATGCCGTCGGTTTCGTGCTCTTCGAAACTGATCGTATCATTAGGGTCATCGTCGGTTGGGGACCAAGCTGGCTAGATAGATCTTGTTTCATCCTTCCATCCGTAAGCCTTGATCGATGAGACCGAATCGTTTTGGAATTGCGATCCTCCGATGATCATGTAGACCCTTCGACGGTTGTTGTTGTTTCCTTGGTCATCCCGTTTTCTCCCGCATTTTTCTCCAGACTGATTTTCGCGCGCGTCCCTTTCTGAGAATCTTTATCAGTCCTGGGAGGCTGGTCGGAATCTAGGATGAGGTCTTTCATGCTAGTGACCTTCGAAAGGTCGCTGGAGAAGAGTTTCGCAGCTAGCCTTGTGCTGAGAACTTTTCAGTTCGTAGTGGAATGACCTTTGGTCTGGTGGAACTCGCTGTAGGAGTTATCCTTGTACTAATTCTAGGTCCAGGTGTTCCTAGAGGTCTTTCCGTGTTAGGAGTTGATAGTGTAAATGTGCTCGCCTTGGAGATCTTCTCCCTCTTGGTGGACATACTTTTCGTTCCGATAGCTTTTTCGTTTTGCGGGCGTCTTCTGCGGGTTGTACTTCTGGGAGAGGATTTTCATCTCCTCTTCCATTACGATGAAGTCCGTTGCCTTATAAATAGCGTCCTGGATCGTTCTCGATTTTTCAAGGGATATCCATTGTCAAAATTTTGACCGGTACCAGAGGGTTTTCTTCAGAGCATCAATTGCCACTTTGTCGCTGATCCCAGTGACTCTTGCCATTACTAGCTTGAATCTGTTCATGAACTCGCGAACTGGTTCGTCTTCTCTTTGAGATAGGCTCCAGAGATTGACGTCCGAGGTTTCTGATATATCATGATTTTGACCCGCTTTTAGCCATGGTATTAATATGTTTTTATGAGTTTTATATATGTTTTGGAGTCTATTAGGTATGTTTTTAGGTTCAGGAGCACTTTGGAGTAAAGTGATGATTTAGGTGCCCTTTTGGAGCTTAACAGAGAGTTTTCCGAGATGACTATAAGATCAGACAACAAAGACACATATCGATCGATACACACCCTGTGTAATCAATCGATGACGCTTCTATTGAGATGAAGTCGAGATACTCCATCGATCAATGTACACCATGTACCGTCGATCGATATGATGCGTGGAGAACAAGTCCAACTTGGCCGAATTGAAGTCCAAGTCTTCCGAATATTACAATAGTACCCCTGGCGAGTTTTTAACCTAATGGAAGTCATACTTATAGTTTTTGCCATTGTGTTTGGATAGACATGCTTTTTATGCTTTTCTATGCTTTTTGAATGTTTTTATTGTTCTAGTTACTTTTGTACTTGAAAAGCTTTGCATACTTTTCTTGTTACTTTGCAATAAAGTATTTCTTTTCATCTTAATTTCTTAAAGGTTATAGAATTCTAGATTTAGAAGAAACACACAAAGAGATTTGTTGTTCCAAGAACCAAAAGTTCAATCTTCTAATCTATGAGTTTCTATTACTACCTTGCTGTTATGAATCTCTCAGCTATGTCTGAGTAGATCTCTTTGTTAGATTTAGGGTTCAAATAGTTATGAGGGATTAGCTTCAACTATGGAATGTTGAATTGTTGATATTCATTATCCATATGAACCCTAATGCTTACTCTAGAGTAGCTATCTAGAGTATGATCATGGATGTGATTTAACTTGTTAATCATTGTCCTGGAATCATTTGGCATGAGCTTAGATCTTGTAGGGTTGTGCGAGAGCCGGTCTATGATCTTGGTGAACACAGTTTCGATTCGATCTTATGCTATATCGATCGATACTCCTATAGAGTCATCGATCGACGGCTTCTTATATCGTCCGACATGGGGATCTTACCATCGGTCGATATTGCTGGCAATAAGATCAATGGATGTGTCTATTTAACGACTGCTATTAGATCTATCTAAGAATCGAAGTTCTCATATATCTTGCAAGCAATTCATTAAAACATCTATATCATTATAATCCTGATTATCTGAATAGCAACCTTGAATCTAACTACTTTCTTTTATTGTTTTAAACCTAAACCCATTCTCTTAAGCAACTCATCATTGCTTACAAAACTGCTGTTTTACTATTTTAAACCTAATCAACCTAGCATAATCATTTAGGATTACATCTATTGTGTTCCTTAGTTCCCTGTGGATTCGATCCCTAGGTACTACAACTGAACCTCTTATTTGAGAGAGTAATTCACTTCTTAAGGTTAAAAATTTGAGTTATATCAGTTTCTCTGACCATGAACATGGAATACTGCTTGATAAATTCTGAAGCAAGTTGGCGGAAACTTCCGATGAAATTTCGTTTCAGGCGAGAAAACCATTTGAGCGCGGCCCCTTTGAGGTTCTCGACAAAGAGGAGGCAGTAGCCAGCGTCTCGTTCGCGTTCCTTGAGTTTACACCCTCCCATCACGATCTAGAAAGACTGCAAATGTGCTTTTGGGTCGGTGGTGCCATCGTAGACGGGAATTTTGATCTTCCCTGGATATGATATGTTGGTTTCCTTAATCCGGGCGGTGAATGAAATTTTGCGTGCTTCCTTAAGAAGTCTGTCGATCTCGGGTGCAGCGCTCGTCGCGTGATGGATCTGCGACTTTAACTCTTTGACCTCCGCCGCGGTTTTTGCGAAGTACTCGCGGAGATCATTGATCTCATCAGGATTTACGGTAGCCTTGCGAGCTAGTCTGTGTTGGCTGCGGTGGATCCTGGCCTTCTATTCGGCCAGTTCCTCATGTGCTACCCAGTAGAGGTTTTCTTCTTCCTCGGTCATGGGTCTTTCGAAGAATGCGTCTTACCGAGCGGATTAGCTTCACGTTCTTCTCAGGTGGACATCAGCACCGTCGTTTGAGTGATCGGACTGGTTGCTCCCAGCGGGAGGTGGAAGGTTCTTCATGGTTGGTTGTGCCTTGGACGGGGCTGCTTCATCAGGGTTTTCGCCCAATGGAGCGTTATCCATTCGTGTGGCCCAATCGTTTGGAGTATCGAAATCGAGTCTTCTGCTGCGCTGTGGACTTTGGTGGCTCTGCACGGGAGTTGTCTCTTGGCCCTCGCGGTTATGGTTTCTACCTTTTTTTGCGAGAGAGGCCACGAGATTTCCTTGTTCGTCC